ACATGTGATTCAGAGCGTGGGTCACAGAAGGCGTTCCCCTAGCGTTTTCGATGCAGCTCGAGTTCCTGAAGAGGAACTGACTTTTCCAGATTTTAAGTGCTATAATCAGGTCCCCGGTGATGAATCTACCAACCAAGGAAATGTGAAAAAGATTAACCCAGTAAGCCTTTTTCTGCAAGCATCTGTGAAAACGAACGGGTCTGATTTCGCTCCCTTGGTGACCTGGCAAAGGGATCTCATAATATTACCGCTCCTTAATCTGTAAATTTCCACCCAAGGCGCCGTCATTTGATTTCGCAAGCGACAACGGTGTACCAGCTCTAATGCCATGGCGAAAGTTTGAGCAAAACATGCTAACTGTTCTGTCTTTGGCTGCACAGACGAGCACAGAACACTATTTAGATCTAAAATAAACATGCACTCAGAAAACTGTATATCAGAAGTTTAAATTCATATGGTTTAAAACGCATGATTTCAGCGTATAAACATGATAATCAGAACCAAAACAGATGTTTTTAGCAGGTCCCAGCTGTAATGGCACAGCTCTATTCTGGAAAAGGGGGCGGGGAGCAGCAGCTCATTTGCATTTAAAGAGACAGGCCCGAAAAACAGCGTGTTTACACGCTTCCTTCATATGCAAATCTGTTTATCTTACCGACAGAGTTACCAAAGAAAATTATAACGAAATCTATCAAAGCATAGAATAAAATATGAGCACGACCAATATAAAACCCAGCCTATTTGTTCACAGACTTCACACATAACCTTTGAAACACCCATAAACGTGAAGCATAAAAAGTATTTTACTACAAATTCAGTCTGGTTGAGGTTGTCCACAGCAGCACACATGAAAGCTGATAACAAATTCAGTATGAAAGTAAGCACAGACTTCAGAAATGACAGTGCAAGGTATTAAAGTACCACTGTAAACTTTTTACATTCCTAAAAAATGTTGCTTGTGTAAAAACCTATGCAAGTATGCTCAATCTCAAATCTATAAAACTACAGAGAAATTCATTATCTTATAACCTAAATCAAAAAGCTTACATACATAGAAAACAGAAACAAAAATCACAAAAAACTCTTTAAAGTACCTTATAATTTTTTATACAATGGGGCTTTTATGCATCATTTCAATTTCATAATCTGGAATAAGCATTTATCCAATTATACTTATGCGTATTTACCAATTAAATTAACTCCTAAATTCTAAAGAAATCTGATAATAATCTTTTTAAATTAAAGAATACCTTTTTATAAAATAGCCTTTTATAGTCAAAAAGTAAAATTTAGCATTCCAGTTTCATCTAACTCCATTTTCTGTATTTATACTATTTTATCAACTAACTAAAAGGGAGTTTTTGTTAACATTCAATTAGCAAACCCTGTTAACTTCCAGGCAGCTCATTATTGTCACATTAAAAAAAGCAACAAGCTTGAGAAACAAACAGCGTGTTCAAGACGTACAATGTTCTGCACTGTATTATCATTAGCGACTGTTATTCTCAGATTAAGAGACTAATTTATTTTCATACCATTAAGACTGCAGGTTAGCTTGACAATGATTAAAAAGCACTAAATGTAGTTAGTTTAAAGCCCTATGACAATAAATAGCGCATGTGATCAAGAGTGACAATAATGGAAGAGATTTCTACATTTAGGCATACTGTCGTCTCATAACACATTACCATACGTGAAGCTCATTTAAGGTGCAGTCACAATTTCGCGAATAAAAAGGCCAGTTGTCTATTGTTGATTGATAATAAACCAATCAGCTTTCTGATGGTCGACGTGGCAAATCCATGTGAAACTCATGAACCCATTGCGAATTCTTTCTCCCTCACGTGAAACTCCCAACTGGGTGAATTCCTACTGGATTTCGTTTGCGACAATTCG